CATATCATATCATATCATATCATATCATACATGTATTATACATGGTTGTATTATAATATACATATTATTCATTATTACCACTGAACTTCAATTAAAAAAAAAATCTACCTTTTTTTTTTTTTACCCTATAGGGCTCTGAAGCATAAAAATATGAAAAAAAAAAAACTTCTGAATGCAGTGCTCTCAGCTACTGTCTGACACAAAAATGATCAAACACAGTATTCACACGACCCTTACACAAAAATAAGGATAAGGGCAAAAGCTTAATATTCCTCCCCTAGTCCTAAAGCCTTTGTTTATCTGAAATAAAAAACACCTACGTAGTTTTTCCATGATCTCTTCATCTGACATTTTGGTCTTCTTTTTCTGTTTATCACCTGATTTTGTCGCACTGTCAACAGAAGTGTCACCGGCTGGTACAGGGATGGGGTCAATCACAGACCGTGTATAAATCTGTTAGGAGAGACCATTTACCTGAGTATTTTCTTTGCAATCATTGACCTTCAGTTGAAAACAATCACAGTTCTTCAGAGATCCCTAAGCACCATTTTACATAAGTTGGAGGCAGAAATTAGACCTGAGAAACACTCGAGTCCATTAAGTCAAGATGCTGACAACCTCACTGACCTCTGAAACAAAGACCCAGGCTCCTCCTGAACAGAGTGAATGCTAGGTGACAGACAGATTTTTTTTTGTGAATTTTCTACTGTCTTACTCTTTATAATCCACACTAGTTAACAGGAGAAGCCCTTTCATTTATTTACTTCATTTCTGCAATTTCCAAGTTTCACACAACAGAAATCACTATTTAATAGCGATGTCAACTGAGATCTAAAGCAAAAGATTCACACTTCACCACAAAAAGAAGCATGATATGCTTGAAATTTCCCAGGCATCCCCAATTTTGGGGATTTTCTTGGAGCTTTACTTAATTTCCTCCCCTCACAGACATACACAGCTACCCTCGAAATACCAAGCTGCAGACCTGTCACATTTGATACGTTTACGCACCCAGCCTGGGCAACTATAAAGCAGTATCACTTGACAAATATACACAATTCACATTTGTGCTCCTGAAGCAAAAATAAGTGGGCAGAGTGGCAAAATGTACACCTACCACAGTCAAAAGAACAAGCAGGAATAAGTGGGATCCCTGAGACATTATTAACAAGGTGTAGTTCAGGATGACTACACTAAAAATTAACAAAACAATTTCTTAAGCATTGAACTTTTCACGTAATGCTGATGACTTTGTGAGTGAAATTAAGCTTTCAAATTTTAAATTTTAATTGTTTGGGGTTTAGGTAGTATATTTGGTGAGGCTATGCCACTGCAATCAAATAAAGTAAAGAAAATCAAACGCACTACACTTGGACTGTGTAAAGTTACAGAAACTAGCTGTATTTTTTTAGGACTAACAAGTCTCCTCCTCACGTGCTGGGCTGTAGGATAAGCACAGCTGGGTATCTTTAACATAAGCCAACAAACAAATAAGCATTAACTTCAAGATTTCTGATCCAACTGATATCCAGAAATTAGGCATTTTCTTAGCAAACTCAAAAAAAAGAAAACAGAACTTTTCCCTAAAAACTTACAACAGCTCATTTTGCAAATAAAACAATTTGCTAGAAAACAGAAGTAGAAGTTCTGCAATACTGTAAAATGCAGGTCTGCACTGTAAATTTTACAGCTGCTCACCGATTTTGTGTGATCTGGCCGTGGAGCAATAACAGGAGGAGGAGCTTCTTCATCATCCTCATCATCATCTGCCGCAGCTGTTGATGGCTCTGAACCTTTGGCATTGGTCTACATTTTTACCAAATTAAAAAAAAAAAAAAAAGTAAATAAACAAATAAAATAGACTCCCCTACATCTTAAAGACTTGCTTTTCCTTTTCCCCCACACATGATGATAAAAGAATTCTTCTTGATGTCAAAAGAAAACAATCGGTTGAGTGGTCTAAGTGCCCTGTTACATTACAAGACTAAAATACTATTGCTCAGTCAAATATGCTCTGTTGACACCCTAATTCATGTTTTTACTTCACAAAAAAAATATAATTTTGTTTTATATGGCAAGATTCAGTATATAACAAATACAGAAGACCTGAACCTGTATGCATTGAAGAATATAAAAAGAATAGTAGACACACTCACCGTCGGTGTTCCTGAAGGGAAACCATCTTTTTCTAAATAGGACAAATAGCAGAATACATAAAATCATCAGAAAAATAATTAAAAGTGAACTTTACAGAGTAAAGAACACAGACTGTTTCGGAGATTTTTTTTTTCCATCTCTCAGAAAGCCAAATTTCATGGTCACAAATGAGAGAAACCAGTATTTCACTGTAAGACCATGCAGAAAGAAGCTTGTTTCATTCTTTTAGAAAGAAGTTTCTAAAATCTTCCCCTAAGGGTAGGCAAACCCACTCATTTCCCAACTTGCTCTTCACCTCACCCACACCCAGTTTTCCAAATTGAGCGCTGTTCATCATACTCATGGGTTCTGTCTTACTGAGATGTGAAATAAGGATCAAATGGATATTTCTGTTCCTTTAGTGGTATCTTGAATCAAGGATGAGAATATTACAAAGCCTTATCACTAAGCTATTTTCAAAACTAATTTGGAAGAAAACTAGGTAAAACTGCATGTGTTTGTAGGGCAGTCATCCTCTCAGTCCCACCACATAGCTCCTGACCTAGAAGCCACAACTTATTTTGCATCTTTGATGTCACCACATGGCAAAATCAAGTTCACAAATAGCTATTTTGGACACAGACAGGAGGAGCAAGGTCTCCAGCACAAAATCAATTAATCACAGTCACGGCGCCCCAGCTTCATAAGCACAGCCCATTCATTTTGGCTGCTATTTTGAATTATCCCGTTGCATTTCTTCCCTTCTCCACTTAAAACAGGAAATTAACTGGACAACACCAGTTTCCAGTAAGTTTTAAATCCATCTTTGAATATTTGTTCCTCATTGAAAAGTAGCTTGATCTTTGAGCATTTTAATCTGACTTATTATTCTGAAATTGAGGAAGACTGTGTTCCAAATACCCAACTCCCATTCCATATGCCTTGCACACACTTGGATCTCACCTGGAGCAGAAAAACTCAGATACTTCTGTTTTGCTGTGTCTTTGGAGTCGTAGAATTTCAGCACATCTAGTACTGCCTGGGGATTTTTCTTCTGTTCTAGCTTTGTGATATTTGAGGTCTGCAGCAACCGAGCCCATTGCTCTGGCATTCCCTGAAAGAAGAGATTATTCTAAGCATCCTCCAAGTACTTAAAGATTTTTTTAAAAGCAGAAGAAATTTCTTTCCTCTTCAAAAAGCGTAACATGTACAGCCTTAAACTCATGAACAGGCAGGATGGGGTTTTAACGGGAAGCCATATGTCCATAGGTGACACAAATCAAGCCACAGCTGAAATCCCTCCTGACTGCTCAATATCTCAAGCATCCATGGGCTTTAGCCCCCTTTGCCTACATGACATCATCTCTTTCAGGTGTATTAAGCCAGATGTGAAGAATGGGAATACAAAAGCACTCAACAGAACCAGTGTTACCGACTAATTAAAGTAAACTGAAGAGGGTTTCTCAGGGAAGGCTCTCCCAGGTGACATGAAGCATCAGATCTGACATTTACAGTGCAAAAGCACTAACAGGTCACAGTTTCACTACTCTGTGTGCTGTACAAATTCACAATAAAATTATTTCTTTGATAAAAATGATCAGATTAGCTCGCACTTCATTCTAAAACACCACATTGGCTTCACTACAAGGCAGACCCACAGCTGTTTTCCAAGCAATTTCCAAGGCAGGCAGACTCACAGTGAACTCTCCAGTAACAGCATCAAATCCAACGTGGATGGTATGCTCAAAATCTGACGGCGGGGAGATTTCTGGCCTTTCCTTTTCCTTCTTCTTGCTTCCTGAAAAAGAGATTCAAAGATCTACTGAACAAAGACTTAAAGTCTTATTGTCTCCATTTAATATAACCGAGGGAGGTGATTGTCCCGCTCTGCTCTGCACTGGTGCGGCCTCACCTCCAGTACTGGGGGCAGTTTTGGGTGCCACAGGATAAAAAGGATCTAAAGCTGCTGGAGAGTGTCCAGAGGAGGGACACTAAATTGGGGAAGGGTTTAGATGGGAAGTCATACGAGTAGAGGCTGAAGTCGCTTGGTTTGTTCAGCCTGGAGAAGTGGAGACTGAGAGGAGATCTCATCACAGTCTAGAACTTCCTCCCAAGGGGAAGAGGAGGGGCAGGTGCTGATCTCTTCTCTCTGGCCACCAACGAATGCCAGGAGCAGAGGAAATGGCAGGAAGATGTGGCAGGGGAGGCTGAGGTTGGCCATGAGAAAAAGGTTCTTGAGGCAGAGGGTGGTGGAGCACTGGGACAGGCTCCCCAGGGAGGTGGTCATGGCACCAAGCCTGACAAGATTGCAGAAGCATTTGGCCAAGGCCCTCAGACACATGGTCTGAATGTTGGGGTTGTCCTGTGCAGGGACAGGAGTTGGACTCCATGATCCTTGTGGGTCCCTTCCAGCTCACAACATTCAATGATTCTATGAATAAAATAGCTAGGATGGATGTGACCATTACTCTGTTTCCTGGATGGAGGTGTTCACATACACAGCCCAGTGATTTGATATTTTCAAGCTGGTATAGACTTCATGTAAGAATCGACAACTTATTCCATTCAAATAATTTCTAGTATAGTAGCAAGCAAATAAGAGTAAGAGCCCCAGAGTGCAAGGAGCTCTGTAGTGTATATGAAATCTAAACATAGGAAACATTTACAATGCAAAAAATGACATTTTAATATGGATTAAGAACAACACAGTAGATAACTTCAGTTCAACCTCAAGTTCATCTTAAACAGTTAAAACTCAGTTGCCTTACTGCTTCCATTCAAAGTAATTAATGCAAGCTAGGGCTTCCTGTGACAAAGATAAGAGTTTATAGCCTCAGAGCAATTACCTAATTTCAATCAAAAGCGGGGAAGAGAAAGCAAGCATGATGATCTTGGAGGTCTTTTCCAACCTTATTCTACGATTCTATAATAAGTACAAGAAGCAGGAACAGATAATGAGAAGGACCATGTGCACTATCCAACCTAGATCCAATTAAATTTATAAGACGTTTTATAACGGCTGGGGCTTGGGTTTTTTGCTTTTTAAATTTTTTTCTGACAAAGAGAAAATAAATTAAAACGGAAGACAATTTGTAGTTAACACTAAATATAAAATACTCCATTCTGCTCCCTTTACTCAGAAAAGGTTTGGAGCTAAGTCAGAAGGTTTCAGGAACCTGTTTTCCTGCTCTTGCAAAAAAGCTCGAGCCCTGCTTTCTTTCCCTGCCAAAGCAGAGGAGTGTACTCGCTGTTTGCTCTCCAAGTGGAAAGATGATGCTCAAGGCCTCAGCTCACGGTCCCCTGCTGAAAGGCAGTGAGCTGTGGAGCGGGTCTAACCTGATACCATGAAAACGGCACCTGTAATCCTGGGATCGCCTGTGGGCTCGCAGAGATGAATCAGCTGCATTTATTATATCGTCCGTGAAGCCAGCAAGAATGCTATAGTGCTCATAACCTTAAAGGAAAGCAGCACACCATTCTGAAATCTAACAAACATAACATGGTAACCAAGTATGTAAAAAACCCACATTTTTGCTTTGTTTTTAAATTTACCTTAAAAATAAAAGTCATGTAGTTTCAGTACAGAAATAGAGCAGATAAAAGGGCACCCTCTTTGTTACTACATGGTAAAAAGTTACTGAACATGGGGCAAGCATAGATTGTGCTGCTCACAGCCAGAGGATCCATCTGAAATCCCCTCACGCTGGCGGGAGAGGAAGGACAGGGAACTGAGGACAATACTTACAAACGAAAAGCCATGTGGGCTGCCTCCAGCTGAACAATGCAGTGGAAAGACACGGCTATTATAAACAGGATATCTTTAATATGGCTGGACAGGTCAGCGCCAAAAAGCAAACGGACTGTCAAATGTTAACATCGTTCAGTCCCAGGACAGGAGAAACTTGCTTATGTAAAAACTTTTAAGGAAAGTACTGTTTCTTCCCAATCTCTTGTAGTTGTTTATATAAAAGGGGGGAAAAAAAAATCATATTCCTCAGGAAGGTTCCTGTTCAGGAGCACTTGACATGTAGGGAACAGAAGTTGATGCTCAAACCCTCCAGCACGCGCTGCACAAATAAACCCTCTCCTTCCAAAAATATACATCTTAGTAGGCTAGGCAAGGAGACTGAAAAAAAAAAAAATCACTCCTCTGCCCACAGGAACAGCGGATCAGAGCAGCACTTCAAACAAACCAAGCAGCGAGCTTCAGGCAAGAGACAAGTCCCGTGAGTCATGTGTTGGCAGGACATACTGGAGGTTCCGCAAACAAGGCCGCTGTGAGGCCACACTGCTTTTCAACCTCTGCTTATGTTTGCAAAACAGTTCTGTATTTAAATGGGAATCCCTTTAATAAAGGGCAACACTCATTTCAAACAGCAAGTGAATCTAAAATGTGGTCCCTTGGTCCTGCAGAGACAGGAGCTTATACTCGCCCTGTTCCCAGGAGGGGGAAGGCACAGGTCCTTCAGGATTCGGTGAACTGGAGAATTGCTCTGTCTGATTAAAAATGTGCCTCAAATACAATTGGACTCTTCCCCAAATGAAGCCACGGGCACTCAGCAAGGTGTCACCGAAGGTTCTTCACACACCCTCCAGCATCACAAACCCAGCCTCAAGCATCCCTCGCTGCCCACCAGCCAACCTCCAGGTAAGAAACACAGATCACACAGAATCTCACAGAATCACCTAGATTGGAAAAAAACCTTTAAGATCATCCAGTCCAATCATTAACCCAACACTGACAAGTCCCCAACTAAACCATGTCCCTCAGCACTGTGTCTACACGACTCTTCAATCCCTCCAGGGATGGGGACTCCACCACTGCCCTGGGCAACCCCTTCCAATGCCTCAGAACCCTTTCTGCAAAGAAATTCTTCCTCACATCCAATCTCAACTGCCCTTGGTGCAACTTGAGGCCATTTCCTCTTGTCCTGTCACTTGGTCCTTGGTTGAACAGACCCACCCCCACCTCTCCGCAGCACCTCAGTTACTATGTTCTGCTCGATGACAAACATTTCTTGGTTTAGGGGACTATTTTAAAGCTTTCCAAAAACACACACAGGTTCATTTGACTTCAGAAGTCTAGCCCAGGAAATTCATGGCAATTAAGTATACTCTAGTAAAAAGAGATGACTATCACTTCATTTATCCTAAACAACAGAACTAGGGGGAAGAAACCTCCATGACTAGGTCATTAAATAATCCCTTTAAACTCTTGTGATTATTTCAGCACAGAACTAGCTCAGACTTGGAGCAGAAACTCCGCTTTTGCTAAACCTCACCATCTGCAGGGAGTCCCCCAAAGCCCATCAAATTCCCAGCACCATCTCCTCAGCCAGAGAAACCTCCGGAGAGAGGACCTGGTGGAGTAGGCAGAGCTGTGGCAATAGATACAATGAAGTTGGCCGAGAGAGACCTTGCAAAATCATATGGACAGAGATCTGCAGAATACAGCCAAACACTACCCAGTAACAGGTCTGTTTGCAGCAGCTTTGCACATCTCCTGGTAAGGCATCTCTTCATTTTCCCAAAAAGGAGAATTTAGCATTCTTGTAGTAATTTATTAACTTTTTGGATGGAGAAATTTTTTCCCATCCCAGGTTGACAAATAATTTTGCAGATAGTCTTAATATATTTTTAAAATCCAAGCAGGAAGTTAATATTTCTGTAAAGCTTCTGTGTTCGGTTGGGGGGGGGGGGGGGTGGGTTGAGGGGGGGGAATTTTTGGTAGTGGGGGAAGGGGAAACTTTGCAAAAGCTCCCCTGGCTCCAAGGCTCCCCCAGCCCAGGCTGAGCCAACAAGCACTAGAGAAACGCCTCTGTGAATCCATAGTTGTGAGGGGAAGGACTGTCCTGAAAAGAAGAAGGTGGAGAGAACCTGGAGGAGAGGCCATTGACCTAATAAAAGATGACCATCAGCTTAAACAAAGGACAGACAAAGTGAGAGCTTCGTTGCCAGAGGAGAGAGGAGGAGGGGGAGGA